TTAGGGTTTGGGGTTCAGGGTTCATTTGGCATTAACGTACTAGCATAACAGAGTTCTGTTGGCTTGATTTCCATAGAGTTGCAGAAGGCCAAAGGAGAAACTTACTCAGACACATCTAAGCATGCAGGGCCCCCAAGAAAAATGCGACTAAGCCAAGTAGGAGCCAACTGGTCTTGATCGAGCTTGTGCAAAGCCACGAATGCATCTCTCCAGGACACGACTCTCTGCCACGTGCCCGACTCCAAGAACTTGTCGAAGCAAGAGGCCTGGTTCTTCTTCCGGGCTGCAGCACAGGGACACGGGTCTTGTAGACGAGCTTTCAAGGCCGCATAGGGCACGGACGGCTCCGAATCTAGCTTGCGTTTATGACTTTGCACTCCAGCAGCATCCTCGGCAGGAGCATCCTCGGCCCCAGAATCGGAAAGCTCCGAAACCCGAGCAAGTCGTCGATCCATGCCCCACCCCCAAACCCTGTCCTTTGACCTTTAAGCACAACAGACTGCGGCACGACTGTGACAAGCAACCAGCAAGACATGCCATCATGCCTTGTCTCAGGGCACGACTCCGACAAGCAACCTGCAGTCGTGCCCTGTCTCAGGGCACGACTGCGACAAGCACCAGCAAGCTGCGAACGACGAAACAAAATTGCTTCTGAAGAGCGAACTGCAAGGTATGGCATGAAACATTCAAGTCACGACACAGAAGGAACAGCCGCATTTTTTTAGCCCCGAAAAAGACGGCAGCTCGGGTTGCTGCAAGAGCCCTTGCGCATGTAGGCCCTCTCACCACAGGTGTTGCCTCAGGCACAAAGAGAAAAAGACTAAGACAATCCAGACGGGAAAGTGGCAACAAGTCCCGGACAGCGGCGGTAGTCGCCCCACCATCCAGCGGGAATGATGCCTGACAACCAAGGGAAGCAGATGTCTGGAACGTGTGAAGAAAAGGAAAGAACCTCAGCCTCGCCAAGTTGGCTTGTCCTGCTTGTCATCTCCTCAGAATACTATTAAACTAATTATTACAGTGAGCGGGGTGCGAACACGAACGGCCTTGTCCATCTGCAGAGCCATTGTCTTTCTCGGCACTGTCTTTGTCGGCAGGTCCTAAGCATGACATTGTCAAGTAAGCACATGCAGCAGGTGAATCCCGGCCTGGTCCATCCAGTGAGGCTCCACCGTCGGGCGCTTCGGGCTTCTCTCCTGGTGTTGTTAGTAAGTACTAGCCAGCGGGATAAGAAGAAGCTCGGCCTGTTCCAGAGTCATTCGTCGTCGGAGCAGGTCCTGATCATGACTAGCAAGAGTAAGTAGCACCCAGCGGCATAAGAACAGCCTCCATCACGGGCAGCCTCAGGCGATGTCGTGGCACCTCCCAAGTAGGAATTAAAAAGCAAAACCATCCACTAGGATCGGCACATCCTCACGGCCATAGTTGCCTGGAATCGTAGTGGCGGGTGGTCCTGATAATGAATATCTAGAGTTTGTAGCATCCAGCGAACCGAGAATAGCCTCCAGGCCCAGGGTGTTTTGCCGTGGCGCCTCCCAAGAATGCGTGATAAACAACCATCCAGTAGGATTGGAACATTCTCAGCTATGCACCGAAGTTCGATGGCATCATCGGGCCTGAGCATGATCTGTGAACCACCACCAAGCAGGGCAAGGACAGCCTCAGCCTGCACCGGCGTTCTTCGGCATCGTGGGGGCTCCTGAGCATGATTTGTGAACCATTGCCAAGCACGATAAGAACAGCCTCAGCCTCCAGTGCTTCCCACAACAGTCCAGCCATGTCCTGTGCATGATTGGTGAACCACGAAGCAGGAGAGCAACAGCCTCAGCCTCCAAAGTTCGCGGGCATGTGCGAGGCCGGGGCAGCTCCTGAGCATGATTTGTAAACCACAACGAGCCAAAACAACAACAGCCTCAGCCTCGAAAGCTACCGGGAATCTCTGAAGCAGCTCCTGAGCATAAATTGTGAACCACCACGAAGCAGGATAACAACAGCCTCGGCCTCCACCAAAGTTCGCGGGCATGTGCGGGGCAGGGGCAGCTCCTGAGCATAAATTGTGAACCACCACGAAGCAGGATAACAACAGCCTCGGCCTCCACCAAAGTTCGCAGGCATGTTGGGGGCAGGTCCTGAGCATGATCTTCAAAGTAATTGCCTTGCAGCAGGATACGACTGTCCCCAGCCTTGACCAGGAAAGAAAGCCGTGGCACAGCCTGAGCCCAATTTTGAAAACTGAAAACCTGAATCACAAGCTCGCAGCGGGACACGAAAAAGCCTTTAGTCGGACCTTGTCCACCATCCGTGTTCATGGCCATGCCTGAGCATGAAGTATGGGTTCGCACGAAGCAAATGAAGCCTCTTCGTGAGCCTTGGGGAGCATAGGCTGGCCCAGCTTGAGGTCCTGGAACATCAGCAGAACAGCACTCGACGACAAAGTGTGTGCAAAGCAGCTCAGGCCGGGGTCCTCGAAAAGGGGTCGGCGGAAAGGGGGGTGGGGGGGGTGGGGGGGGTGGGGGGGTGGGCGGGGTTGGCTGGAAGTCCTGGCCAGCCCGGGCCGCATCACGGCGTGCCCGCCAAGGGTGCACCGCCATGCGGCTAAGGGCCTCGGCCACCTCACGGCGTTGCGAGGACTTCTCGTCGCCTGCCAGTCAGCACACTGCAAACGAAAGACAAAACTGCCGGGCACCTGAAGAGGAGCTGCTGGAAGAAACCAAGAGGTTCAAAATCCTCTGCCTGCACACAGCAGTTCAGGGTTTGGGGTTTAGGGTTAATGGCAAGGGCCTGGCCTCCGTCGTTTTTCCTTCTTAGATCCAGACAGCTTTTTCTTCTTCTTCCGCTTCTTGCCTGAGCACGATGCAGGCGACCCCTAGCCGACCTACATCAACCGGGCCCCTGGCCGCCTGCCGCCAAGGCCTTCGAGAGCTGCATGAAAGGGTCCTGTGATCGTTCGGTTTTATGTGGCATAAAGAGATGAGCCCTGTGAGATGAAAGACGGTCCTCGCGAGGAGGGTCCCATCCGCCCCCGCCCCCGGACCCAGCTGAAGACCCCACTGTAGCCATCGCTGGAGCCAGCACTGTAGGGCCGGGATCGTTCTGAAGTTGTCGCTTCTGCTAGATCTGCATGCAACACGTCGTGGCCATGCCTAAGGTTCCGCCTCAAGCCCTGTACAGGGCCAGAGGGGATCAGCAACAGAAGCACATGACTCGACACACAGCACAGGCACAGTCAGACTACTAGCGGTGACATGACACTCAACACATGCACAATCAGAGCCTTCGGCCCTGTACAGGGCCAAAGGCTAGCAACAGGGACCCTTGCACACAGCTGCCATGAAGAAAACTCGGAAATGCGGGTCAGGAAAACGTGGCCCCAAGCGTGCAAACAATAGCAGTCGCAAGATGAGTTGCACTTGGAAAAGCTGTCGAAGCGGACGAGATGTTAAGAATGTCGCAGCTGGTCTCACGGCAAAGTTGAGTGAGGTGGATATTACCAAGTGCCGATCACTGCGAAGCTCGTGTCAGCAAGTGAGGTTTTGTTGTGCGGAACACAAGAACCATTGCCTCAAGAAAGCGCCAGCAAACCCAAGAGGCAAGCGAGAATGCATGGACGAGGCACAATGCCGAAGTTTGTGGACATGCCTCCTGCAACAAGTCCAGTGTCCTTGGGCTGCGATTCTTTTCCTTATGCAACTGTGCCTGGGAGAGCGAGCAGAAGCAGCTACCTCCGTCCGAGTATCGTGGGTTCAGAACTTACAGGAGGAACATGGCAATCCTTGCTACATTCAGATCCCAGACGATGTAAATGGAAAAACAAAAGCCAGGAGAGTTCCCCTGCTGCAATCTTTCGCGAACTTGCTCAGGGGTTGGATGTATGCTTCTCCACTAGTAACACCTGATGGCAAACAATGGCCATTTCCGGAACAACCCTTGCAAGATCCGCAATGCTGCCTTTTCCCCGGCCTTCAAGTTCGAGGCAACAAGATGACTCGAACGTGGACCCAGCCAATCACAACAAGAGCTTATCTAAAGAAACTCCGGGAAGCAGCCGATATATTGCACAAAGAACGAGCTGACATGCTATCCAGGGGGCTTCCTAGTGTATGGGAGGAGACCGACCTAGCGAGGCTGGGAACACACAGCACGAAAAGAACCTGCGTTTCGTTGCTCAAAGACCAGTGCCGGTCTTCTGCTGTGGTGGGGGCCATCTGTGGCACGACACCGGCTACCTTGGATCGCGAGTATGATGCCCCCACACAGAAACGGCAACGACTGGCGTTGCGACATGCCCTGGGGCCCGTGTTCGATGGTGATGTTGTTAATGTATTCTGCACCAACTGCAGAACTGAAAGGCAATCCACACAGTGGATTTATTGCCCAGCTTGTGGAACGAAGTTTGTTTAGTCTCACGTCCCCTTCGACTCAAAAGCCAGCACAAGAGCCGATCTCAACTCTTTCAAGGGTCTCCCAAGCCCCCCTCAAAGACCCCCCCGAAAGCCCCCTACTCTTTGCAAGCCTCCCCAAACCCCCTCAAAGCCCCCCCCAAACCCCCTCAAAGCCCCCCCCCCCCAAAGCCCTCCAAACCCCTAAAGCCCCCCAAAGCGCGAAAACCAGACATAGACAGAAAGCCAGGAACAGAAACCAGACATGGGCCCGAAAACTAGGTTTTTGCTCGGTTTTTCCCAGTTCCGATTCCCAGTTCCGTTTTAGGGGCAGAAAAAGAACTGGGAAAACCCCTAGAAAAA